TTCCCAACGCCTGTGGTTGCGTCATGAGTGATGGCCGACCTGCAAGGATCACAATTTTCCGGTCCTGATGGTCGATGCCGGTGTCGGTGACGACTTCGGCAAAGCAACAATGAAGTTTTTGAACAAGATTGAAAGCGAAAAGGGTGTCCTGATTTGTGTTTGCACAGATCACTATGCTGAGAAGACCAGCTCACCCTTCTGCTCTTTTGAAGAGTTAAAGTTCGCCTACGAGTACCGTGTGGATGTTCTTCCGCTGAAAGTGGGAGACATCTACCCTCCAAAGCCGCCGGGCGGTGCAGATAATAAGCACGACGAGGAGAACGAAGCAGCGGACGTGATCAAGATGGTCTTCAGACCCAACGTCGCCTTCAAGGACACTTGGATCTTGAACATGTCAAGAAGAACTTAGCTCATTCGTCCCAGCTCGTTCGAAGGACATGACACGGCGCATGTCAAGAGCAGGCGCTCTTAGAGAATCCTGCGCAACCCAGGACTGCCGCGATCTAGACGAGACGCAGATTGCACGGCTGATCGCAGACAAGTTGCTAAAGAAGAAGAGCCTCGCCATGAGAAGTTCGTTGTCCTTGCAAGGATCCTTAAACCCTATAGGCCGCGCATGATGTCGCAAGCATAGCCATGCCAAGGCGAGGCGCTGGACATGGATGAGAAGAAGGCTCACAGAAACCTCGGGCGGGGGGGGAACCGTACCACCACACCACCAGGGTTTCAGGGTGCAGGGCGCAGGGTTTCGTCGGGTTTTGGAGTGAATGGGCCTTGACAGGTCGCATTCGGCGCTGCACGTCGCTTGACCACTCCGCCTCCCGCCCTGCGCAGCTGAGGGTCTCGCACGTCAGCTTTGATCCAAGCTGCTTCGTTACTAGGGAGTTCGGTGTTGCGTGTAACCCTTTGCCGCGAGCCCCAGACAATCCTGAGACTGATGTCAAGTTTATACAATTGTGAAGACAAGCTCGCAGGGAGGTTACTGCAACGAGGGCAGCGCTGCAGACACCGAAGGGATGCAGCGCAGAAGCAGGTGATTCGGCTTTACCCGAACTACCTTGAAACCAATCCATAGTAGTACGAAGTACGCAGGAGTTGAGTCTAATTACAGCCCATTTGGCGCCAAGAA